AGATGACCAAATCGCGGGGTGACGTTGGACCTACTATCCTAGTAATTATAGCGAATGTACGTAATACCTAACGAAATGCCGCACGTCTCGCTGACGTTCGACTTTCTAATGGAGTTACTGTCAAACGTCTCGAACTGAAATTGTACTATTTCTCCAAGAGGGCGGGTGCAAGTAGTTAGTATAATGCACGCGCCATCCACTATTGCGCTACAATCACTTGGAGACTTACTCTACAACCGCACCTCCCGAACTACTTGCGGTAAAATGAGACATAATTATTGCAGGTACATTTCGTAACAGAGAAATCAAAACTAAAGATTGACTGCAATCGTGCATATCAAAGTAAACATGAGTCAGCCATCCTAAATCTAGCTTATGCCCGTTTTTACAAACGTAGATTAACTTTAATCTCTGCAACTTGCTCTTTATCTCTTTTTAATAATTTTTTTAATTCTTAAAACTAGATAAAAATGAAGAGTTAGTTGAGTCGAGATTAAAATTAAGCTACATTGATAGAAACGGGAATTGTAGGCCCGGTTCCACCATAAGATTAACTTTAATCCTCCGTGGTCCAATGTTTTCTTCCCCCTGCTTTTCTAATTCGATTAAATCACTGATGCTCGATTGTATTTTTCAAAGGATTTTCGGGCTCCAAAAAGAATCCGAAAAAATTCTGATACACTCATTTTACAATGATATGATACGAAACGGTTTTTATTTTTTTTTGTCCGAATTTGAGGCAGAATAATTCAAAGTTGAAAATTCGCCGGGCTTCTAAGCCACGATTCGATACCAGAGGGTTAATTTCGGTTCAACTTACTTTCCATCTTTTTCTAATTCTTAGAATTAAAAAAGGATAAAGAGTTAGTTAAATCGAGATTAAAATTAAACTATATTAATAAGAACGGTCATAATTCTTAGAATTAAAAAAACATAAACAGTAAGTTAAATCGAGATTAATGTTAATTTTACATTAGTGGAACTAGGTTAATTAGTTAAATAGTTACTAATGCCATTACGTATTATGTGATTGAAGTTTCTTGATTGTTACGATTAACAAGCAATTATGTAGAGTTAAATTATTTTATGTATTAGGTGTGATAGAAATTTACCCGGAATGATTTCACATTTAATAAGCACTCACGCCATTATAACCCCATCCTAAATTCGTCTATTTTCCAACGATTTGTTGGGAATCTCGGGATTGTCTCAAACGACATCGAGCTTCTTCGTTATCTTCGAAACATGCGATGGATTCGAATATGTGCATTTATCCTCTTATCTGTATAATAGTAAAAGATATCAGGGTGTGACATCAGTTCATTCCTTCGTATAGACTTTCATTAGGTATTAAATTAAGGAGAAAGCAAAAGGATATAAAATAAAAAAGGATTAGAAAGGATAGATTGTGAATGATATTTTCTAAAAATAATAAAAATAAATTATTGAATAAATTGATTTATAGTCGTTCGATTTAAAAACATTGTAATTTTATCAAAATTACAAGCAATTAAAGCAACGTTGTAAAAAATTGACTCTTTAAAAACACTACAGTTCAGAAAGAATTTATTTAACAAAAACGTCGATCAAAATGTAACTAATTGTATAAGAAAAGGATAAAAAAGCAATAATTGAAATATGATCATCTTTAGTGATGAGAAAAAGTAAATAATAAGCAGATAGTTTTTTTATGATTTTGCAAACCCTTTCTTTAAAATTATGATATAAATAGTTATCATAAATAAAAGTTTAAATCAGTGTTGTATTTTTTAAAGTGAAGGTGAATATTAAAAATATAAAAGTTTGCTCTAAAAATGATGACCGCGACACTTGAACATTTTTTTAGTTCTTATCTGTCACTTATCGATTACTCATTCGTATCGCTAAATTAATATTACTAAGAAGGAAAGATTCATCATTTAGATAATGTCAAAAGTTTTATTCGAAAAAGTAGTTATTATTGATAACGATGTTCACTCAATTACTCGGAATTAACCGGAAGAGGATTCTTTAAGAATTGTAATTTATTTGATATCTTTGATATACTTTCTTGATGATATCATTGACAAAAGTAAAGATGAATTTGTAAACTCTCGTGTGCAGTCAGATACGCATAAATGACGCAAACTATATACAATTCTTTGATAAATCTTCTTTCAAGTTATCGCGTAATAATTGCGTATAATATGATGATAATTCCAAAAAATTGTGAATATATTGGGAATGAAAGAATGAAATTGGAAAAATCTAGATGACTGGTAAACTAATTTCACTAATCTTCATTTTATACTTTTTGATAGTCTTTTATTTGTCTTTATTACTCATAGTTAGCTCACCTTGTACATTGTTGAACTTCACGCATAATTTAAATATATAAATCTATAAATATATAAATATATAATCTTAAAAATAAGAGTCAATTTCAAAAGTTTATTTCTCCGAACAAGATTAATTAAATTTGTATTATTTAAATAAATTTGGGTCATATTTCTCATTTTTCTTACTTCTAATATTTTAATTGTTCATGATTCATCGAAGCTAATAATATGTACAAAAATAATTACGTTAAATAAAAAAAAAGTTCGGTCATAGATGATCAATTCCACTTTCCGAAACCATCAAAAGGCCATGAAAGAAGCGACGGACACGGGAATATCTCGTCGACTCATCTTTCAAGCGCACATGTATCGGTTTGTTGCACCATTCCTGAGGTACGACTGAGTAATCATTGAGACTCGCGGAAACGTAATAGGAATGTCGCTTTATTTCGCGAACAAAAATAGTCTTTGCCAACGTCGACTTAACTTCTCAGTCCAATTTCAAATCTGTTCGACGTAATTGTCATAGCTCGCTTTTAATTCTTTGAAATTATTTTTTTAGATTTTCAAACATATTAAAACTAAGAGAGACTATTTTAATCTCTATAATGATTATATCGCATGAATAACGTTGATTAATCATTAATAATTAAAAATTTTTTATGTCATTAAATTGTATACAAATGTTTACGTAATTGCACGGTGCGTCTGGATATAATATAATAAGTAAATTAGTGTTTCAATAAAGTGAAAAGTATATAAAAATAATTTTTTTATAGAATTAGGAAGCAATTTTCCATTTAGTATTTTATTAAATAAATTTTATATAAAATTTTATTACATTGTAGAATATGTTGTAAAACATTTAAGTAATAATGAAAATGAGTAAAAAATTTTTAATAAATAATAGAAAACAGAATAGTGCTTTTTTATGAAATGTTGACTATAAGTACTATATTGATAAATTAATGATTCTTATATTGTCTACACTCGTATTGCAAAATTAAATATTATGGTGTAACTGATGATCTGTTTTATGTGCAAATATAAATATGAAAACTGTGTATATTCTGTTTCTCTTTTAATATTTTATTCTTTTTTTAACGATTGTTTAACCAGTAACTTTATATATGATAATTTTAGGTATAAGTAAGGTTATCATTTTTATAAAATTATAATTTTACTCATATAGAAGCTATATCTTTCGCGGATTAATTTCGAGTTCATATCCATTCTTGAAATGTTAACGTTTCATGAACGTTACAGTTCACTTCATCAGAGCGAGATCTGATACTCGTCCTGATGAAGTGAACTGCAACATTCACGAAACGTTGGCATTCGAAGAATGGATATAGACGCATTAGATAACCTGCAAGACACGTAACTTCTACGTAGAAAGTACTCGTGGAAGCCTTAAAAGTATAATCTTATTTATATGTAAAAATAGTACTATGTGAATATTATATACTTACATGAGTAGGTGTGTAAATAATTTTATATACACAGTTTTCATATTTATTTATTATTGGGGAATTTGGGGAGATTATTAATATTTTCAGATTTGATTGCGTTGAAAGTCCGACAACCATATCGGCACGCAATTATCATTTCTGAAATTAATTCATTTAAATGAATTTACAATAGTTCAACATCTTAACGTTCTGACCGTTATGGCGCTTCTTAATTTAAAATTATTATGTTTAACATTAGCGGTCTTTCAATCTTATTATTGTTTCATATTTATATTTTTTGCGCATACATTTTCTTTTATTATACTTTGTACATATCTTAATTTTTTCTTTTAGTCTGCTATTAACGTAATTGACGTAGCATACTTACGAAGCATTAAATAAAACGTTTCAAAATATTGGAGATTTTCAGAAAACCACGTCGCTCTTTCCATTCTCTATTTTTATTTTTTATTTTTATCCTTCGTTCTCCTTCCTTCTTGTTTCTCGTTATTCATCGCGAGGCATCCACTGTGAATCGGGCTTAACAAACCGCGATCACGAGGTCGGAAAAAATCGATCGCGCATCAGTATATCTACTACTATTCGTTGTATATTTGGGTATGTGCCGTACGAA